GCCTCTTCCTCCCGAGTGCTGGGATTAAAGGCGAGCGCCACCAACGCCCCATTTCTTCTTTCTTCCTTTCCTCTTATTCCTCTCATGCTATGAAAACCCACTGTGATCCCTGTCGAAGGCCTCTTTGTAAAGATAAATAAGCAGGCTCAGATGACGGTGCTGTAGTGAATGACAGCGGCAACCGTCAGGACGGATACAGTACTCGCACCACTGTCCTCAGTGTATTATTCTTCTGGCCCCCAACACCGTGCTTTCGGAAATGCCCATTTCTTCTTGAAATATACCCCACGTTTAATAGACACAATAAGAAGAAATCAATCATTTTCTTCTTACTCTGGCTACCAGAAATACAGAAGTGCAAGTTTAACCACAAATATGAGAGCTGACCGTCCATCTGCGGTCTAGAAGGCAGCAGAGAGTGGGGATGGTGAGCAGCGGCAGGCGTCACCTGTTGGGGCAGAAGCACTGTTTACATCAATCATTTATCTTGCAGAAATTTGTATTCAAGTCTTTGAAGAGAAAAACCAGAAATTCAAATGCTTTTTTTTTTTAATTTGAGAGAAAAGGTCTCAAGTAGCCTAAGTTGGCCTCAAACTCACTATATAGCCAAGAATAACCTAGAACTCCCCACCCTCCACCCCACCCCTCGATACAGTTTCTCTGTAGCTTTGGAGCCTGTCCTGGAACTCACTCTGTAGATCAGGCTGGTCTAGAACTCAGAGAGATCCTGCTGCCTCTGCCTCCCGAGTGCTGGGACTAAAGGTGTGCGCAACCACCGCCCGGCCCTAGAACTCTTCATCCTCCCTTATCCATCCCCCAGGTGTTGGATTGTACGTGTGAACCGCCACGCCTGTCAGAAATCCAGATTCACACGCACACTCACTCAAAATGTTTACCTGTGGACTCCTGGCTTGACTGTTTTCATCAGGTTACCCATGCGTCTTTCCTAGCTGTAGCAGCGTGAGTGGAGACAGAACTATCACCCTGGAAACCAAGAACCCAAGACTGGTAGATCCAGCTCTGATACCAGCCCACGCTTCCCTTGAGCAAGACACCTCAGTGTTTTGTACCTCAGCTGCCATGTCTCAAAAGTTAGAAGTTCAAAATTCCTTCTGATCCTTAATTGCTATAGTGTTTGTCTGCACAGCTTTTTTAGAGGTCATTTCCCACAAGTAGATCTCAGAACACGGAAGAAGGGAAAACAACAAAACCTGGCTGCTGCATCACTGCTCGTTCTATATGCAGGAGAGACATGGCCTGGGTGTGGCAAACACTTGGCTAACTGGACCTCAAGGATAGACATGCTTTCATCAGCACACAACTTTGTAGGATTCCCACCACCCATCAGGGACCACCATCACTGAGTATGAAGTTCCTTCTAGGTGACAGACCCTCTTGGCATTTTGAGACCAACCCCAAGGTTGCAAAGGAATGTTCTGAGTCAGAGCAAATCTGACCAACTGCTCTCCCCGAGCTGGGCCTCCTGTTTGACAACTCATGCCAGCCCACCTGTGATGAGTGTTGTCCTTTGTCATTGTCACTCTGTAACTTCTGGCAGAGGCCAATTACACTAGGAGAGGCTCATGTTATCTGAGGCTCTGACAAAGCTCATATATGTGTAAGTACATGGTGTGGCCTGCACACAAGTGACTTGGATGGAGGAGATGATACCTTGTTTTACAAAGAGCATAGGAAGGAAATAAAAATATTAAACTGGAAACTTCTCACTCTAGCAGTTACAATGAGAAGAACAAAAGAAAGTATTCACTTCCTCATGGTTATATTAATCATGTATCTCAGGCAAAATAAAGGCCCAAGGAATGAGGGCAAATGTGTGAGTTATCACCAGGTACCTTCTTCACATGGCCTTTTGACATGATGATTGGCTCCAAGTGACATGAAGAAGAGGGTATGAGGCACCCACATTACCAGGAGTTTTGTGTTTTGTGCATCAGTTAGGAACAGGGCACTTTTTTTTTTTTTTTGATTGTCATTAGCAGCTGCCAGAAAAAATCTAGTGTTATAAAGAATGATGACCTTTGGTCCCCAAACCAGCTGCAAACCTCCACGTGTTCTGTTTTCAATGCCCTGGAGGCATTTTCTTCACCGTGCTCTGTTCCTACCAGCCTTTTGGTAGCTGGGGTGCTTGTTTTAAAGCCTCTATAGTCTTCCCCTTCTGCCTGGAATACTCTTTACCAGGATCACGAGAGTGATTGATGTAGATGTCAGCCTTCAGGGTACCCCTTAGAGAGCCCCTCCCAACTATCCATCTTGGGACACCATCTATCATGGGACCCAACCTTTAACTCTCGGCTTAGTACCCTACACCATACACCTGATGGATTTCCAGTTTCTTCGTTTTGAGTCTTTCTTAGAAGACAGAATCAAATCAGCTGGGCGTTGGTGGCGCCCTTCTAGGTGACAGACCCTCTTGGCATTTTGAGACCAACCCCAAGGTTGCAAAGGAATGTTCTGAGTCAGAGCAAATCTGACCTTTAATCCCAGCACTTGGGAGGCAGAGGCAGGCAGATCTCTGTGAGTCGAAACCAGCCTGGTCTATAAGAGCGATTTCCAGGACAACCTCCAAAGCCACAGAGAGACCCTGTCTCGAAACTCTCCCAATCTCCCCCCACCCCCACCCCCGAAAAAAAAGAAGACAGAATCTAAAACAAGAATTTAAACTGATATGAGCTTATAAACATAAAAGCTCCATAGGAATTCAGCTTCTGTGTCTTGTTCACAGCATATTTCCAGGATCGAGAATAGTACCTTAGATATACAGCAAGTGCTTTAAACACTGGTTAACAGAACGGATAGAGGGGCTGCGTAGACAGAGGAATCCATTTGGCAAATGCCTACAAGGTCCCCGCGGTGAACTAAGACTGTCATATGGATCGGGGTCTTCCTCAAAGGCCACACAGCCTACCAGGAAGGACAGACCTGTACTGAACCATACCAAACCTTCTTCCCAAGATGACCCTGAGGCCAATCTCCATGGAAAGTCAGGAGTCAGCATGTGAGGAAAATCACGACAGAGGTACCAACTTTGAAAGCTGCGAGCCCCTGGAAATCTGATATGGCTGGTGTGAGGGACAGAGGGCCACGAGAGAGAGGTGTGAGCACTGAATTGTGGCCTACATGAACAAAGAACCATCTGAGGAGCTCTAAGTGACACGATGGTTTTATGGCTTATTGTAGTAGTGAAGGCAACTATTTAGGAAAAAAGCACAAAGCAT